GTTGCATCCGCTGTGGCATGTTAGCATAGCTCTCTGACTTACAGCTGTGCCTGCTCTCTGAGCTACAAGCTGGGAATTTTAACCTCTATTGCCTACAGTTTTGTGAAATGCTTACTCTTGTCTTCAGTAAAATTGCATGTTATTACTTGAAAAAGCAGACATTTTTCACTCTCCATATTTCCTTTTCAAGTGATTCACCTGAGAAGTTGAAAAAAGTAATTTCAGGTAGAGCTGGAAGTAGAATCAGTCTCTCAGTGTGCTAGAATGCTCTTCCTTCTTGGATGAGCGGGCTAAATCCGCTGGCTTAGCTTGTTTATAATCACTGTTGTAATCACTGTAAATGGGTCTTGGTTCACAAATGCAGCCCAAGAATCCTAATTGTTAGTTTTCTGTTGCTCCTAGTGTGTAACTCACTAGGGACGTGTATAGTGTATATTTGGGTTCCTGTTAGAGACAGGTTAAGATAAAACGACAGCATTTCAACTGCATGTCTTCCATAAAGCACTGCTTTAGAGCTGCTTGTGTTTTCTTCTCCCCTGTCTTTAAGGGAAAGAAAACAACTACAAACCAAACAAATGTTGGCTTTTAAATTAGGTTTTATAGTCAGCTGTCACTGCAATCATGACGCACACAAAAGCCCATGTGTTCTATTTTTTGTCATTGATCTCTCATTTTGTCCTGCAATTGCACAGTTATAAAATTTGGGAGATTGAGAGGTGTAAATACTGACAATTTTGCTGGTATATAGTGAGTTCAGTTTCTTCTGCTGTAAACTGTCAGTGCCACCCTATCTCAGAACAGGGGCCCAGCAATTCAGAACTATATTTAATCTGGTACACAGCTTAAAAAAAAAAAAAAGCTCTGGATCTTGTTTCTTTACTCACCACTGCAAAAGTCAGGCCTAGTTTAGCCTGTTTACCTGTTGGTAATTTCTTTCTGGACTTTACAGGTATTTTGGTGCAAATGCAGTATACCTTCTATAAGTTTATTCTGTTTCATATAGTATTGTACATGAGGTGATGGGCACACTGTGAACCTGGAGCAATGGGGAACGAGCTGTGGCCACACTTGAGTGTCTTCATATTGCTCATTTGCTTGGACCTGGGATGGCTCCATGTGGATCTGACCACACGTCTATATACAAAGCTGCAGTGTGTAATAGACGTCTCCAGAGCGAGTGGAAGTAGCCAACCTGCTTTTGCATGCCAGCCCTAGAGGTGGGATAGATGCAATTTGCTGTGCTGCAACATATGAGCTGCACTGCATTTGAACTGGTTTGAAGTGTCTGCACCCCTGATGCTCTAATTCACAGCCTGGGTAAATTGTTCGCAGGCGATGAGGAGTTACATTTGAGTTACTACAACACCTTGTTTACTCACATTGCTCACATTTACTCACAAAATCAATTTAATGTAAATAATGAATTGTAACTGAGTCTGAATGGAGAAAAGTTCTTGAAATTATATGAAACCCCAAGTTCCTTTGAATCTTTTTAAATGACCAGGGCAGGAAGAATGTCTGTCTATAACAGCTTGAAAAAATGATTTCATGGTTCCAGTATGAATCAAGATTCCTTACTGAAGAAACATCCTACTTCAGCATTCCTGATGTCAACAGAAAAGATATGATGTGAGCAATTACTAGAGTGGGTAACATTGTGCTGGTGGATATTCTGTGTATTGCATCTTGCTGAAAGCTACGTATGGTTCTAAAGCATCTTTGAAAAACCTAATGGTAAGCTGTGTCTCTGGCTAGAAGGGGACTCCATAGAATTTAAAAAAGTATTCAAGAGGAAAATTCTTTAAAACAACAACAACATCTCCAAACTTTTATTGCTGAGCATGGAAACCCTGGAGAGTTTCTGTTGTTGCACAGGAATGTAGCTGAGATACAGTGCTGTGAAGTTTCACGTCTGCATTCTTTGCTCGGTTTTGTCATACGGAATTTTGAGAAACGGCCATGCGCCCTATATATAAAAGAGAAAAACAGGGCTTTGAAAAGTGGATGCAGCTTCATCTGGTGGGAGCATGTATGATCATCTTCTCACAGGATTAAAGAAATAAGAGTCTGTTTTAAAAATGAGATGTTTAAAATGTCCGTTTGCCATTTACTCTCAGAATTTAACCATGTTGCTCTTGTTTTCAAGCTTATCTTTGCGATCAAGAGTGTTATCACTGACATAGAGGCTTGGGCTTTTAAAAACTATGTTGAAAACTTGGGAAGAAACTCAAGTGGAATCTCATAATGATAGATGCTGATGGAGACAGTCTTTCTTACTAACATACAAATCTGTTCAGGTCTTGAAAAAATGGTCAAAATACAGCAATCTGGCAGTAATTTGACTGCCTTTGAAGTCCTACAGCTGCTACTGCAACTGGGTTTATATTAAAGGAATGACAACTGGAGGGGGAGTATCAAGACCTCAGGAGAACATGTCTTCACTCTT